CTTCACCAACGATTTGCTCACGCACATGGAAGAAACCCTCTGCATCGACACAACCAGAGTATACTCGGCGGGCAAGTCGAATGGCGGTGGTTTTACCAGCGTGATCGCCTGCAACGCCACCGTAGGAAGCCGATTTGCGGCTTTTGCGGCCGTCAGCGGCGCCTGGTATGATACAGCCGACATGAAGGGCGTGGGGCCTTGCGCCCCCGCTAAGCGGGATGAGGGGTATCCTTTCTTGGAGTTTCATGGTACGGTCGACACGACGGCGCCTATCGATGGCGACGGGGACGCTAAGCTGCCTGTCATTGATGTCCTGCAGGCCTGGGCGGCTCAAAATGGATGTGCGGACAATGCGCAGCCCACCAGCAATGTGACTGTCTTTGACGACCCGCTCGTGAAGCATGCTTCTTGGAACTGTAACGGGCTAAAAGGCATCGTTCAGCATTACCGTGAGAGTGACAATGGCCATTGCTGGCCAAGTACTGTTGGCAATGATGACTTCACCCGAAATGCCGCACAGTGCCCGTTGGGTAAGTCGGAATTCAATGCGACTCAATACATATTTGATTTCTTTGCGGAGGATCACTCGAGCAAGACGAGCACAACAAGTACCACCACGAGTACTGGTACAAGTACTGCCACTGGCACAGCAGCCACAAGTACTAGTACTCATCACAGCCAAAGCCCAAAGATTTTACACCCCATGTCCATCCATGCTTTGTATCTTATATTTTCAGCTGTTGTTATTAACTCGCTGCATATTTGAGTTCCATGACATTTCTGTGGGCTGCTACCCCTCCAAAGACAAAGCGACCTTCAAATTATCCACCTGGGGCTTCAGCTGTTTAGGCGAAGCAGACCAGTCTTCGTACTTGACAATCTCAGAGTCAGTCACAACAAACAGGTATTCTGCAGCGGTTGATCGGACCTAAAACCCAGCTGTCAGTACCGTAAATCCATAGGTATGAGATCTAACGTACCTTTGGGAAAGGATGCAAAAGCAATCCGGTCATCTTCTTCAAAACACCACCTCGTAACGAGTCAATCCTTGATAATGCAGCATAGACTTTGACTGCAGCTTCCAATCGAGCTATATTTGCGGATCTGAAATGTGCTTTCTGGACTAGCGTGAACAACTTTCGGAAACTAGAAAGAAGATGTCAGGGGATGATGTAGATATATAAGCAACGAAGACAAGTTCACAAACCTTGGGTCTGGGGCTTCCGGGATAACAGGAATGTAGCTATCAATCAAGAATGCAACAAACTCGACTGCAGGAATGGCAAAACGGTCATCTTGGAGGTTGTCATCTAGAACTGTGGAAAGATCCTGCAAGAAGACCATCAATATCTCCTGGCGTCGGGATTGAGATTGGGAATTGAGGAACTGGGTCAGAGCCGAGCGAGATGCTCGGACGAGACCTTCTGCTCCCGAGATAGCAGAGGTAGCAAGTCCTTGTAACAAAGGAAGACGAAGCCAGTCAACATCCTGTAAAGTAAGTAACTGAGCAAAGTACTCTTGTGATGAAACATGACTGAAGTGCTCGAATTTCCTGTTTCTGTTAGGACCATCCTGAAATAGTTGCGTTATTGGCAAGGTAATCGATTACCTTTCAAGTGGGGGTAGGTCCCCTGCTGATTCCCAAAAGTCCTGCAGAGAGAGCCATGCTTGTAGTCTGACCTTGTCGAGCTTTTCGCATGCAAGGCGGCAAAGACACCCAACCAGATCTTGAATAAGTGGTGGGCGTGATGTTGTTTCCAATTGTCCTCGAAGTAAGATGCCGACTGCTTGTATTGCCTCGACTCGGATAAGAGATCCAATATCGCCTCGTCTGTCAGTGGTGTAATCATTCAAGAAATCGACAAAGTTGCTTGCAACTGTATCAGTAGTAGCTAAGATCTTGTCAGCCTGTTTTCGTACCAGCTAGAGAACAAGAAGTATTACCCATATATGGCAAGATACCGGTGGCCAGGCACTTGACAGCTGCAACCCTTTTCTCGATGACTTCTTCCTTCCCGGTGTAATGAAGAATCTCGGTGACGATGTTTTCTTGGACATCACTCTGTGCTCCGAGTTGCTTGAACACTGTACCGAGTGCTAGAATTTGACCACGGCCCGTCGGCATTCTCCATGAATCACGGAGATGAGAGAACCAGGTACGCACAGTTTCTTCCTGCTTTGATGGAGATAGGAGAGGGAACAGCTGTGCCAAGGCAGTCGAAGATGCTTCAATCGAGATATCATCACTTCGAGAAACACAGAGGGAGAGAATGTGCAGTGTTCGGTTCAGAAGTGATTCTGAAGGTTGAACCAGACCTGCTATGGTGGTAGACCGAGAGAGTGAGGAGATCAAGCAAGATGATGCCTCTGCTGTCAACTCGGGGCGTGAAGTATGTAAGGTCAAGTCATCATCGGTAGGGCTTGACGCAGAACCAAAGATATCCCAGATATTGGCAACTTGAGATGAAACAGCCCTGGCTTCAGGGGTATCTCTCTTCTCCGTTGATGTTTCCCATTGTGAGGTAAAGGCATCGACCGTGGCAGCAATAGATAACAGACAGCCATGTCGTGATTCTACATCATGCCGAGAGATGCTGGAGAACATTTGCAGCAATTTATCTAGGACCAGATTCATGGTTTTGAATAGCTCTTGAGTACTCAAAGTTCCAATAGACTTAGCCGCATGTCTTCTAGACTCGGCGTCTGGAGAACCAATACCTCTCCAACCCATCAAAGCCTCAAGAAGCGGACTCCAGTAAATCAGATCCAGATAGGCTGTTGCTTTAGCAACATCAATTAGTGCACGAGAACGTCTTGCGACGGCATGATAATCCACAACCTGCACGAGGGGAATGCCCTCCGCAATGGTATTGGGGTGACGGCCGATCAACTCTTGTAGCGCAGCAGACGACCCACGTCGGATGTTCCCAGATGGATCAATACAGGCAGCACATATGAGTTCCACGGCCAGCTTTTGCAGAACATCGACCTCCTTCTTGCCATATTGTGACACCACTACCTGGGGTTGCAATGCCAGAAGTTCTTGTGTTGTATACTTTCGGGACATGGCCCAAACACCGAAACATGCCGCATCTCGAACACCAGTTCCCACAGAGCCACCAGTAGAAGACCTTTGCTCGAAGCACAAACCAGACACAAGTGATTGAAGAATCTCAGGGAGTTGGTGAATAGGAGGTGCCCGGCGGAAAAGTAAATGTGACAGTGTCAGGATTAATCCTTGCCATCGCTGGGCATCGACTGCACTGAGATTACGCTTCAGGGTGTGTGTGCCAATCTTCCGTGCTTCAAACGGAGTCACGAGGGAGCCATCGTCAGTTTCGAAGAGGATGTTCTCCCCCAGCGAGCCAATGACCGCCTCGGTGACCTCAGTCGCCATTTCAGGGTCTAATTTCAATGTGATAATGCTGAGTGCTTTACTCGCGGCAAATCGCACAGGCGTATCTTTGTCGGCCAAAGAGACCAAGAAATGATCGATTGCATCTTCCAATATGGTTGATAACTGATCATCCGTGATGTGGCGGTCACCTCGCTCATTCAAAGACAAGGCCATGGCTGTGATGTTGCGGATGATCTTGACAACAATTTTTCTCGCCAACGCCGAAGACTGAATCGTCGTAGATATTGGAGAATTCCCCTGGAATACACCGGAAGTCTGCTGGAAGACATAATTGATCAATGGAGCAAAGTCTTCTACCTGGCCGGATGCGCCCAAGCGAGCAATGAATGTGAGCACTCCAATACAAGTATAGACAGACGGTGGTTCGACATTCTCCGTCGGCTGGATTGTAGCGAACGCCCACTTCGTCAAACCTGTAAGCATACCGAGAGCTTGCATGTCTCCACGCAAAGCCAATCGTGCCAAAAGCGCTGTCGCTGCCTCGCGTTCTTTGCCCGATGCACCAATATAGTGCAACGACAAGGAAAGAACCGACTTGGCAACCATAGGAGTCTCAGATGGTAGCCAATCCAACTGTTGCAGATTGTCATAGGGCACCGGAATGTTATCTGATGATAAAGAAGACAAGTCGAAAGGAGCAAGCAGAAGATGTGAAAGCCAGACCAGCATCACATAGCGTTCTTCCCAGATGAGTCGCTGGGTGTTAGATTCGACCAATTCCTCGGAATTGGATAGCCGGACCGCATCCCATTCGATGAAGGCCCGAATCATTGAATCAAGATATTTCGGCTCATTGTTCAAGAACCTGCTAATCACTTTGACGCCACGGACTTTGCAAAAAGTGTAAAGTAGCCTGCAGATAGCCCTTGGCAGGGGATATAATTTTCCTGCCTGGGATGACTTCGGCGAAACAGAGCCATACTGGGTGCGGTGCTTGATCAGATATGCTAGAAAAGCGTCCACTAAAGGAGGCAGCAATGTCTGCAAATGTGGATCTAAGAGTTGAGGCCACTCTTGAAAGGGTTCAAGCTGCAGATATCATCAGTAAATGCAAACAGAGACATAATCAAGAGGGAGCTATGTGGTGCGTCTTACAAGGCTAACAAGCTTCTCTGTTTTGGTGGCCTGCGCCCATTTACGTGGGGTGCGGAGGGGAGTCCCAGTTTGAGCTCTCCACAATAGCAAGGGCAGCTTTGCCGAAAACTCGGACACCAAATCCCCAGAGGCCCGTTGAAGCTTCACGTCTCGATCCTCGGCGGCATCCATGGTGGAATGCTGGGTGATGCAGTTGAAGATTGCGGTGTTGGGAATAGCGTCAACAGCGGGACCGGTCATGTGACGCCTAAGTATATAAAAGGTTTGCTATTTCGCTCACCATACGAATTCTTCTAGATTTACGAGCAGACAAGAGATCAAGAACCTTTAGGAGAGACCTGCGTACGGTATGTACTTTTTCCCATCGAGCTCTAAGAGAATATTATGAGAAAAAGACATCTAACCAAAAACATAATAAGGCCGATGCTTGTTGTTTTATATTCTTCGTGCATGATATGATATGTTCCGTGGCTGAAGCTCTCCATGATCACATCCGCTCTACCGCTTCTCGGGATGCCTTCGCCCAGTCCACCATTTTGCAGAAATAAAAACCCTCGATCAACACAATGATCGATTGGCCGATAAAAATTCCACACCATAGCCCGAAAACGCTCCAGCCTAGGCCAAATGCCAAAGCAATGCCCAGGGGCAATCCTACGAGGTAGTAGATCGAGAGCTGAACATAACTACCCAAATCTGGTCGTCCCACAGCCCGCAGCAAGCTATTGAGGGAAGTGGCCACGGCGTCAGGAATTTGAAGGACGGCACCCACTGGAAGCAAGAAGAAGATCAAGTGCCAGACCTCGCCAATATCACTAAATAAGCCAGGGATGACTCTCCGCAGAGCAAGAACCACAAGCATATTTGTTATGCCAGCACCGAAGGCAGCAAAAATCATGACTTTGGCTGATGTTGCTGCACGCTGTAGGAGACCTGCTCCAATCAGATAGGCAATGTGTGTGCCACCAGCAACAGCGATGGAAAATGAGATTTGAAAGGCAAAGTCTGAAAGGGTCGATATAGCAGCCTGGGCTGCGAGCTCGGTCGCACCTAAATGGGACGAAATGAGTGTCATGATTTCCCACGCGAGGACCTCGGCTTCGATCATTAGCCAACTCGGTATAGCAAGCTTCAACATTGGACCCCAGCCTCGCCACATCTCGGCAGAAATGGGGTGCCAGCACTCAGAGCCCTTAATGAAGATGACGTAGAATGCCAGAAAGACAGGTAGAAGACTATTTGCGACCGCAACAGCGATAGGCGCACCGATGAAGCCCCATTGCAGTCTCTGGAAAAGAAGGGATATCAGTGGATGGCTCGAGGGAGTTCTAAGGATGAATAACATACCCAAACAAATAACCAGCCCATGAAAATATTCAACGTAGAACATACTACAAGAACTAGCAGACTAGCACTGAATAATCCCTGTGCCTGGAAAAATCGCTTTCCGGACTCAAAGCAAGCATAGCTAGGAGCGCCCGCGATGGCAATTTTCAGATACAGCCCTGCAAGAAGGGCTGTCTCCTGGGCTTCAGATGGTAGAATGAGGAGAAATATTCGATCCGCATTCCACCATATAGCCCCGATTGGAATTGTGAGGACGAGCATGAAAAGCGTCAGGCGTTGAACGTGAAGACCGACCAAGGTCAAATTCCCTGAGCCATATGCTTGAGGACATAACGTATCCAAACATGTTGATAGGCCTTGAAAGACAAAATATCCAGTGATCTGGGAAGTCATGTTGGCCAAGCTCACGGCGCCGATTTCTCGTTTCCCCAGATGGCCCACCATGAAGATGCTAGAGCCCGTCAATGCATGTTGAAGTAGGAGCGATACCATGAGGGGAGCCGAATATCGCGAGATAATCGCTAATTCCTGTCGCCATCCTGACTTCTTGGAATTGTTTGCCGCTTCTGGGTCGACGTTGCGCAGCAATGGGGAGGATTCTATAGCCCCATGGTCTTCGGAGATCATCGCGGAAGATTTTTTTAGGGCGCCGGGAGCTCTCCGGATTCCTTAAAAACACTCTATATTGTTCTTTAGATTGCGTTCATTGGGATACAATGACAAGAATGGTTCAAATTGAAAACAGAAAGGAAAAACAAGTATTCAACAACAAAAGTGGAGATTTGACGAATCAATCCTTGCATTGGTCGCGACACCTCCGTTGGCAATAGTTGCGTCTGGCATGAACTGAGCTCCACTGGCATACATGTATTCGTAATTGTGAACCTATCATCTACTACCATAGCACAATAAGGGGGAATCTAATAAAAAAAAAACTCCGGAAAAGACACGAGGCACGACTATTCTTGTTCTACGTATAGGAAAAGGTTATAGCACGTCGTTCAGTGAAGTAATTGTACATGGCTCAAGCGCTAGATTGCCAACGAGGGTTCGAAAATTCCCGGGAAAGATATGCATATAAAACTGGAATGATTATGGCAGGGTATCTCACGGCTGAATGAACTTAATCTCTCGAATTCGCAGGAATCCTGGAGGAAGACCATGGATACTGTTCCCTTCCCAAGCTTTGTTTGATATATATTTCGAGAGCTCTTTGTGGCATGCTAAAGGTAGTTTCAGCCAGAGAGTCTCATAGATCTCGAGGTAACATGATGAGAATCAACGGTCAGGATCTGGGGAATTCATGGCAGGGCCATCAAAGATCGAGGCCACAAACCTGTGATCGTAGGCCTTTGCGAGTTTGGTCACGGTCCTTCTGATGTGCATGATGATGATCGCGATAGCCAGGGTGTTCCAGACATCATTATCGAAATCTGAAAGGTCGAAATGACCAAGGAACTTGATTCCGTGTGTTAGGGTTTGCGGATTGGGATTGGTGTCCAGAGAGATGACAGAAAGAACAGGCCCACAGAGAACGAGCCCCATCAATGCCGGCCAGGCTTCTTCACCATCATGGGATCCAGCGAGTTGGCTCTGCCAGGTATTCGATAGATCCTCCAATGTTTTGGCAACTTTATTAAAGGCTTCTTTTGGCTCTTCGTCCTGAGGTTTGCGATAGATAACGTGCACAGGGGGTGTGTTCGGCTGCACCCTGACACCGGCATCGCTCAATGCCCAGCGCAGGTATTTCTCTATTGACTTCTTGATGTAGATTGCAGGACATATGTCAAGGATATTGCAGTAGTCCCTCACATTACCGCATATCTTTAAAAGCTCCTGGAATGCGCGGATGGCGTAAAACTCGGAACACTTATCGTTTTCAAGGATAAAGTTGGATTCGTTACGTTGAGCTTCATCATCATTCCCAGAAAAGAACAGTGACTCTGGAAGGGTGGAGAAATCTTTCTCCCAGTGTCGGTGGATAGTTGGCATGCAGCCACGAGTAAGAAGTTGATGAGCAGTCCGCTGTTCATCTGGTGACAGGTCGTGGCCCTGGGGGAGTTCTACTGCTTCAAGTAGGCGCTTTGCTCTTTCTCGGGTCAGCTTATTATTGAGCAGCTCATCGCGCTCTCCTGTCGGAATGATGTATTCTTCCTCGCTCTCGTCGAGGTCACTTGGCTCAGACATTGACCTATCCGATTCCCATGTTCCCTTCTTCTTCTTCCTTCTGGTCTTTCCGACTTTGGGCTTAATCGAGCGGCTGTTCTTGACCGAGGGATGCAAAGCAGCTCTCTTTACTCGCTTCGTACATGGTGAGGAAGAAGCGTCGCTGATATCGCTGTCACCACCATCACTCGCAATAGAAATCTTGTATTCAGGTGAGGTGGGCGGCTCGGAGTCCCATTTGTCGTCCTCATTGACGTCAGTGTCCTCAGACCGCTTGCGTTTTGTTACAGAATCCTGTGGCTCAAGCTTAACTTGCTTAGCTAGATACCGAGGCTCTGTTTCCTCGGGGAAGAAGGCTGTTTCTTGGGTTGAGGTCGCCTGGTATGGGAGTCAGTAATATGTAAGTGAGAAAAGAACTAGTGAGAGAGAGAGATAACTAAGTTCAAAGTGATATAATAAGCCAAGATAAAGACAAAACTTACAATCTGACCATGTTCGTTGAACTGAACAATCGTGTCAGGAAGAGTGTTGAGCGACGGGGAAGGACGGTCAAGGGGAGTAGGTGCAACCGCCGGTTGTGGCAGGATCGGGGTAGCAAGAGAGGGAGAAGGAAGTGATTTGATCATAGTGTCGGATCCGTGGGGGGAGTGGTGAGTTGCACGGAATCCTGAAGGCACCTGGTCGTGGGAAATATTGTCCTCCCACAGGAAACGTCGAATCTCGGGGTCGTTGTCCCAAGTCTCGTTGAACCAGGCCGGGGTGGATCTCGATTCTGAAGTCTCAGAGAAGTCGATGTAGAAGTCAATACCATCGACTTTGGGTCTCACATTGTTGGCGGGAGACCCATCCATAGGGTGTGTCACGTTTTTGAGCCATTCCCTGATGGGATGGGAACTTGACGGCACTTGGCTCGCCTTTGGGGTGTATTCTTTGTTGCCCGAGGGCGAGGGTTCTTTGTTTCCCGAAGGCAGGTTCTCTTTGTTGTTCGAAGTCACGGTCTCAGCTGATTTAGTCAAGGCCCGATAGCCCCGACGAAACAGGCGTTCAATCTTTGGCAGCATCTTCCAAATAGACCTCGGTAGCTTGATCTATTTCTGGAACAAAGAAAAGTGGTTGGATGAACAGTTTTGAAAAGATTTGGTAAATTAGAAAAGAAGAAGAGAAGTAGAGAAGAAGAGAGGAGAGGAGAAGAGGACAAAGGTAAACAAACAAAACGTGTGCTCTCGCAAGAGAGGAAGGCACGTTTGGCTTCCTATTTGGGAAGGAACGAGGTAGGGCAGCCTTCAACGGGAAGGGGCGGGGGCAGACACATGTGAATCTAGATGTAAGTGAATATAAAACCATGATCCAACTACAAAATAGACAGATGGGATATATTATTTCGTATTTGTATCTCCCTCTCTTCATACCACGAACCGCTAGAACATAAAACCGGACATAACGCGCACGAGTCCCTGGAGGGACCTACGCTATCTTCATAGATCTTCAAACTTCGTCATTTCTCATCAAACTCTCTTAAAACCACTTCACACAATTCCCATATGGGAACCCGCCCCTTCTCCATTTTTGGACATCAAATGCCCGACATAGAATAGAGTCATAAACCCGACCAGTCGGAAAGAAAACTTAGACAGAACAAAAGAACTCGAGAGGGGAAAAATAGAGCAAGCAATTTAGATAAGCACACAAAGAAATCGAGAAAGCAAAAGCAACCTGAAGGTTTCATTAACCATGGTATCCGGCGATCGAAGCATGTCAGTGAGGTCCGATCCACACCTGCACTTAAAAACGAAACTGAAATTGGGTATGTTGAAGCAATTTGAAGAGCGAGAAGTGCTGGAAAGGGCGGAGGACCCGCAGCGCCCTGAAGAAACCGGACGTGTCGGCATTAAACCCCCCATGAACCGAATTAACACTCTCGTCAACAACTTGTGACAGGTGTCCAAGCGAGCAATAATTATCCCGATCACACGTCGGTGGAATCAAGCAAAGTCGGCAGTATAGGAGAATCCGCGGAATTCTTCCTGCATGGCTTGCGAAAGCACTAAATAAAAAGGATCGGTTAGTTAAAATTCATCTCCCAGCAAGCAGATAATAAAGATCTTACCAGATTGTACAGGGGTCAGCACTGGAGTCACACTGGTGAACTCCTGGTCGAAGTTGCTGGTATCGGTAGGACTGCTGATTGTAGGAATGAATGGCGGGGGGACCCGCTTGTGGTAGATATCATCCCAGTTGATGTTGCGGAAGAAGGCATGAGACATCACTTCTTGGGCATCGGTGGGACCGGAACCCAGACGCAACTCGGGCTCACGAGTCAACAGCTTCTGGAGAATCGACACGGAGTCGCGAGGCATATGAATGGGGTAGAGAGGCTCGTCGGCAAGAATGGCATCGTAAATTTCATCCTCATCTTCACCACGGAATGGAGACTGCTGCAAAAGCATCTGGTAAATGAGGACACCGAACGCCCACCAATCCACAGCCCGTCCGTACTTCTTGTCCAGCAAAATCTATGACAAAGTTAGCTCATCGGTACTGCAGAAAGACATAATAAAACCTGATCCCACTTACTTCCGGGCCCATGAATTCAGGAGTACCGCAGAACGTGCTAGTTGTACCACCATACCACATGTTTTCCTTGCAAAGACCATAATCACCAATTTTGATATGGCCATCCATGGTCAACAAAATGTTATCGAGCTTCAGATCACGGTAGATGACACCGTTCTCGTGGAAGTACTTGAGTGCCAAGCAGACCTCAGCGGCATAAAACCTGAGAGATGTGAGCATTTTCAACCGGTAAAAGAACAAAGACTAAGCGTAGGACTTACTGTGCCCTCTTGAGGCCGAATTGGCCACGCTGAATGTGTAGCATGAGATCACCACCACTGATATACTCCATGACGAAATAGACACGAGTTTCGGTCTGGAAACAAGCGTGCAAGTTGAGGAGGAATGGGTGACGTTCCTTGTTGGCGATTAGGAAAACACGCTTCTCGGACTTGGTGCTCTCCACTTCATCGTTCTCGATAATGAATTCCTTCTTCAACACCTTGATGGCATACAACTTGCGGGAGCTCTTTGTTTCAGCCAACATGACCTTTCCGAAATTACCTTTTCCGAGAACAGCAAGGAAATTGAAGTGATCCAATCCAATGCGAGCCTTTGCCTGCGCTGCAGCATCGTCCTTGATAGGAGGTGCAACTTGCTGTTGGGGCATCTGTTGCTGGATGGGCTGTGAAGGTGGTGCCATTGGATAAGCCGCAGGCTGCACCGCCGTAGCCTGGGGTGGAGGCTGCTGCGGGAAATTGGCATAAGCGGACGGGTCATAATGGGCGTGTTGAGGCTGCGGGGGTGCCTGGGGTGGCAGCATAGGACGGCCCATTTCAGCTAAGATTTGATTAGTACCAAGAGTCTCTCTTCAACGCATAATCAAAAGTTGCATACCTGGGGCTTGCTGGGGGCTACGTAGCCCGGTAGCTGCAGCGGCGGCCGCAGCGGCGGCGGAAGGTCCAGGAGGCGATTTCGGTGGAATCTGTTGGCGCTGTGCAGCTTGTGCAGCAGCTGTTGGTGACTGTGGGGTTACGAAGGAGTTAGTGGCAGCGCTTACCGCTTCTGCGGAGGGTTGTCTAGGAATAGACCCGTAGGGTCCTTCCATCGGTTTCTGGGGATAGGAGAGGGCAGCGTTGTCTTGAGGGGGCCCCGGGGGACCGCCTGCTCGAAGGGTACGGTTGCTGAGGCCAGAACTAACAGAGGCAGACTTGTTATGATTCTTGGTACGAATCAACGTCTCTAGAATTTGGTTGGCGGCTTCCATCGTCATTCCACAGAAATCGGGCACAAGATGAGTGCACTGAGCATGACACGTAAGACCACATTCTGTAAAGGAGGTCAGCATGGACTAGAAATAAGCTGCGATGTCAGTAATATTGCCTACCAGAGCAGCGCTTAGCATTTTTGCGTCCAAACGGAAGGAGATAGCCGCAGTGACAGCACCAGTTCGCAGAGATGTTGGAAAAGCCTTCGAATCGGTGGGGAATACGGTGGTTGATTTTCTCCTCGTCCGGATCGGTCTCGTAATTGGCTTTGCTGATACACTTGGTGACAACCTTGGGGTAACACTTTTTGTGGCAGGTGTATTTGCAATCCGCACATTGCATGCCGGCAGCATACTTGAGGAATTCTCCACATAGTGCACAGCGCATAATGTTGTAAAACTGCTGGGTGACGAACTTGTGGCCCTGCTTCTCGTGAACCTCCTCCTTCTTTTGGCGCACGGCACCTTGACGATTAAGACCAATGTCAAAGGGACGGCGGTCTTTTAATTGTTTGGCTATATCCAGTTAGCACATAGGGTCTCTTCTTCGGGGGTCAATGCATGTTAGGCTTACCGAAGCTCATTTGAAGTTGGACTCGGCCAACCGGTTCTAGGGCAAACCATGAATCGATCGTCACAGTCGGGGGAGCATTTGAGCTCTCGCCACCGTGTCCATGTGCACCGTGTCCCGAGGTGCCTGGTCGTCCTCCGGAGCCAGGGCCATGTGAAGATCCCATAGGAGAACCAGCCTGGTCATGTCGAGGGGATCCACCATCGCCCATCTTATCTGCGGATACCCAGCCAGATGCGTTGAGCTCTGTCTCAATCTTCTTGCGACGCATCTCCTCTGCGATGTCAGAAATGCGCACCCAAAGCATACCGATTGGTACCGGGCGATCTCCCGCCTTGTCATAGACAGTCAATTCAATCTCGTTTGCCTTATCGATGTCCATGGAAAAGCTTTCGTCCAGCCATTTATCGTTCCGGGTAGCCTTGGTCCTCGCTTTGATCGTGTCTTCAACCTTGACGACAATGTATGTCTCCGGTCCTCGAGAAAACCGCGAACTGGCCGCATGGTCCACGTCCTTGACCGCATGGATGCGCATTGTCAGCAGACCCGTCAGCGGCTTGCGCATGTTCGGAGTACTAAGACTCTCATCTGTACCACCAGTTAGTAACCATGTCGCGTTATACTTGTAGCAAAATTGCTATATTCTCATACCGTCTGGCGCATCGCCCGATTCAATATCCACATGAAGATCCTCGTATCGCTTGAGCGCCTGCTTCAGAAGCTGAATCTTTTGGTTGCTCTCAATGCGACGGCCCTCGGCATCAGCTCGGCTCTTCCGGTCGCCCTCATCCTGGTACAAGCGGACCATCTTTTCAATACCGGCTTTATATTGCATTTCCACGCTCAGCTTGAACTCCAATTGGGACAGCATGAGCTGGATCTTCGGGCCGAGGTACGGAGTGTCATACTTGATCAGATCTGAGACATAGCCATTCATATTAGCATTCCAAGCGATTTAAGCTCAACGCAGCATTTCCGAACGGATGTAAGAACGTACCTAGCTTCGTGTAATTGGGCCGCGCCTTTGGGATCGGAGCATAAGGTCGAGGATCGGCGAATGGGGCACCGGAAGGCATCGAGCCAGAGCCGCCCTGAGTGTAGTGTTCACCTTCGCCATGGCCTTTGGGCGGGGGAGCCGGGCCTCCTTCCTGGTTCATCTGGCGAATTTGTAATTCCCTCATTTTCTCCTCCAAGTAGGCGATATTCTTGCGACCATCGCGAATGTTGGCATCGACTCTCTGTTGCACGAGGGGATTGTCGGTCGACTGCCGCATGTTACTGGCAGCGGTGATGAGGGCCTTCTCCCGCTCGATCTTGCGGAAGACCGAGGCGATCAGCTCGTCCCCATCCATGATGACAGGTTTGACGAGGGCAAAGAGCAAGGCTAGCTCAAAATTCAAGGGTGCGCTTGCGCCAGGTCAAAGTGGGTTGTTGGTGGGAGAGTATTCGCGGGGCTGTTGTTGACAAGGGGCGCAACGGGCACGGGTAACTAATGCCACTTCGGAAAATGTGAGACAGACTGCCCGCGATGATCGCCCAGTTGGTTTACAGCCGAAATTGAATTGATAAAATCCAGGAAAAAGCAGATGAAAGAAAGAGATCGATGGAGGTAAGAAGAAAGAGAATCGTTTAATTTTCCCCGATGGATTAGATCCAGGGAAGAAGCCCACGCGGGAGTTACTGGGGAAGCCCGTACTACCACGCACCTCCGATAAGGAAGTGGCGAAAAGTCGGGTTAGAGCACAAAGTAGTAACAGTCCATACATACGAAGTAGGTACATGTGCATATATCTAGGGCTATATCTTAGATTAAGATACATGTAGCTATGTCTACATATGTACGTGGTGATACCTGCTTATGGATTGCCCAAATCGGGCATACTCTTCCCTATGTAGGCTATCTACAGACACACGACATCGTATAGGACACACATACTTCCGAAGCCTTTGACCAGTGATCGACACGCTTGGCACTTCACCGTACAATATTGTAATTGGAAGTGTCACCGCCTTGTCAGATTTCTCATCGGGCACAGAGATCGTGCCACTTACCCCTTACTGTATACATTGAGGGAGATCCTGGTGTCTGATGATTTAGTCGTCTCTCTGTCTTTTCGGCTTAGAATGGTGATGTCACTCGTTTCACAGCCAATGGATGAAGACACGGTAGATACATTGCAAGGCCAATGCTCCGAATTGAATGCATAGGGCATTAATTTTACATCTACCATTATCGTGCAGATTCAGCCCGATTTATGGAGCATTAGATCCTACATTTGTCAGCTAATGAGAATGAGGTGATGATATATAATTTTGGCGAAATGTAAGATCATTCTTCTGCTGGAGACAATAATATGAAGCAGGGGATCGGTCTATATTGCACCCTATTATCGGATTCTAATCACGTTCCAGGAACATTTGTAACGGAAGGTATCTATCTACATAGTACGCTGGACTAGTTATCGAGTGAAACCGCAATGAATAGACCCTATATCTTATCCTTTGTGCGCCAATACCACGCGTACTACGCGTAATAATCCACGCCTGCTATCCAAACAAACCAATTCACCCCAATCTTGATTTTCTCAGTACCTAGTAGGATACAAAACATATATAATTCTCCTGGTGGTGAAATCCTATCTATAATACAGCGCGTCTGCCATCATGGAGGGGGTTTCTCAAAGTGGTTGACCTATTTGGACGGGTCAAATGGCACAATGCCTCTGTCGGCAAATGCGTCCGTGATAACTTGAGGTTTGAATGATTCCTCACGGATCTTAGGGAGGCCATTGATGAAGGCTGTTTTCTCATCATCGGGATCGTCAATCATGTAAGCAATAAGGCCTTGACTTCTCCAATACTGCTTGTAATTTTTAAAAGGTTTGCCGTCAAAAGGCTGCATGAGATGTCCTATATTGGGCGGAAAGCTGAAGGGAATGATCTTGTGTTGCTCGCAAAACTGGAGGAACTTGTAACTCAAATATTGAGGTTGGCCCCTGAAGAGTAGGAGACGAGATTGACCGTCCGCAGTGCGATCTTTGGTCTGGCGATGGAAACACTCGATCCACTCGCACGCAACCTGCTCGTTAACCCGGCCGCTCGGGTTCACCATGAATACAGCTTTATCGGGAGCTCCTCCGTATTCCAACCACTCGTCGTAATAGTGGTCGCCTTGAATAAGGATAAATGGATCGGCTGCCCATCCATCGGCGGCAATACACTCGATGGTGGTTATCCATTCACAGTAGGTTCTAGTTTGATGAGAGGCGAATCCCAATCCCATACTGGTAACGACCATTTGGGGTTTCACTCCCTCGCCAATTTGGAAGATAGTGTCGTCGAAATTGTAGATATTTTCTGGGGAAACCCCGGCAATGACAGCTTTCAGACGTCCATACCAATGTTCCAAGGTCTCCTGATCTGATGCATCGAGACGTTTTTTCTTGACTGATCGTGCTTTAGGTGGCTTTAGGTCATCTGGCAGGCGCTTGATGAAGCGATCAACCCATGCCTTGCTGACAGTGGTGTCGTTCCCATCTCCGTTAAGAATTTGGTTTGCGCTTGTGGTGATGAGGGGTCCCATAGGAAGAGCGAATAGCTCCTTCACCTGCCGAATCCACTGAATCAAGATGTTCTCTTGTACGTCATCAAGTGAATTGGGAGCTACACGAGCTGGACGAGCCGGAACGCTGTTCAGTTGCACTTGATCAGTAGGTGCAGTGATCTCTCGTTCTAACGCGGCGATATTTGGCTCATTCAATGACCGAGTAGGGGCAGACGTCTTGGAGACGCGTCCATTTGTTGAATTGGGACCCTTGGGCATGTTGACTGTACACTACTCACAAAGATGCAGATTAAACAACAACGCGAGGCGGCTCTGAAAGGCGGTGTGTCAAACTACCATGATATTGCCGAAGTTCACGAGGTACATCGCGAACTGAGTTCTTAGCAAGTCCAAAGTCGTTCAATTCAATTTATAGTCTGAGACGCCTGGCCTTTAGTTCATCTTGGGGGACCACGACTTGGTAGGCGGAAGAGAGAAGCTTGCAGATCAAGGGAGCCTTCTTGTGAAGGATATTCAATATTGCCGCATTTTGTACCTGATCAGATATAACCGTAGACCCAAGCCCCCGGAGGAACATTGAATGAGTAAACTTCTCCTTCAAAATGTTGATTTGATCCCATACCGGCACAATCTTCCAAGGTTATGAGGCGACTAGAGTAAATGCGGGCAGGGGAAACCTGCCCCACCGATAAGATCAGTTAATTTCCGGAGAATTATTTCCTTCCAAGGTTCCCAACTTTCTCTTGCACTCGATCTCTGCATTCGTGACCATAAATTTCAATTTACATCTTCAACAATGGGACCGCCTCGCCGAAAGATGATGGCTACGGCAGAGGGAACCTTGACCCCTCCAGACGAGTTATCCGACACTCAGCAGATCGTGCGAGCAATCAAAGCTACCGGAAACAACATCTACCTAGTCGAACAGACAGACAAGAAGCAGATGCTCGTCGAATTGCCTGCACGATTCCGCTCGGCTATCTGGATCAAGCGCAGTTCGTACCTCGTGGTCGATACTAAGGGCCAGGAGGAGCGGGAAAATAAAATTGGAGGGGAAATTGTCAATATCGTCAGGGACGAGAAGGCTTGGAGGAAGGCTCGCTTTTGGTATGTGATTTCGATTAAGAAGCATGGACTCGTTCGCTAACTGGAACTGCTTTCCCACAGGCCTAAGGAATTCGTGAAACAACCCGTTGTATTGGCTGCTGACTCTGACGACGAAGAGGAGTCTCGTGTAGGCCAAATGCCTTCCTCGGACGAATCAGACTGAATGATCGCCTTTCAAAGGCATCAAGCGTTTGTTCAATGGCTGCTACGGTACACAGGATTCAGTGCTATCAACAATGATTCTCGAAATATGCACACCTCAGTATGGATTGGGGCCAGGATATCTCTCATTTTTGGACAATCGCCTCGCCGCGGCTGCTCCCCTTCTCAATCTTCTTAACTACCTCGCTCTATCCATTGAAAAACACGCCAAAGACCTGGACCGCGAGTGACAACACCACAACCGTCGAGCTTGTGTTTGTGCTGGGGAAAACGTTCCAAGCCCACTCTTGCAGCGCCCATAAGGCGTACATAAGAATTGGGTGGAGACCTGCGCGCCAGAGAAGAAATGGGGTAGCCCACGCGAGATACGCGAAAAACTGGTAATGCAAGGACCTGGCACATAGCATTCCGATGGCCAGTGAGCTCAACATCACGGTCATAGTGAAGGATTTTGGGAGTGTAACTGTCTTTTGGCGTCCCTGGAGAGTTTCCTCGAGGAAGGGAACCATGTCCGACCCTGAAGGCTTTACCCAGTTTTTGAAGAAGATAGCCAACAAGGATAAATGCAGCACTAGCAAGCCCACAGAGAACTCCGTTGAGAGGAATGTCTCTTCTCCCACAAACCGCCAGTTCACTGTCCATTCGAACACAAATTGGCGGGATAGCTCAAATGCTCGAGAAAAGTAGCCTGTACTGTTCGTCTGGAGGAAGGGAAGCGCAAGCAGGAGCTGTAGTTTCTTTCGTTAGCTCACTCTCCAGAACGCATTGACTTGATAAGAACCCACCTGGATAAGAATAGCCATAGCTCCAAGCGAAAGACTCCGCACCAATCCCAAACTGAGAAGGGTGACGACCGCAATGGCAGGTGCAAGCAGCACAAGTGTCATTTTAATTGCAACTCCAAAAGACCACACTGCAATCCCCGCCGTCCAACTGCGTCTCAGACACAGGTAGATAGCGAGCCACATAGCGAAAGTCGCGGCCGCATCATTAAACATACGCAGGACGAATATGCTATGTAGCCGTTTGGACAGAACAAGGAGCGGGAAAAGGTAGGGAGGTGCCCCCGTTTGTCTGTAGCAGGCAACTACCACAGCCAGTGTAGCCAGGTAGAGCACGCCGAAGAGCACCTGTCCGAGGAGAATATCACGGCCTTGATTGGTGATGTGATAGAGGAGGGTGTAGATGTATACGTGGGCGGCGGGGTAGACGAGCGGACCGGTTGAGCCTTTGATCAGGGTGTAGTCGTGTTCACCGGAGATATATAGAGAGACTTGCTGCATATATGTCGACCAGTCAATCTCAGTGTCTGGGGTTGTTGCTCGGTTAGCTAGATCTGGTTCGGTACCCGATGGACGCGATCTTACAAGCGATTTTCCATATGACGAGAGTGCAGAGTAACGCGTCGCCTAGAATGAGTAGAGCTGCAATCCATCTTGTGTGACGCTGATTAGTGAGCACGTCGTAGACGAAGTTTTTGTCTGTCGATGCCATGGCGAGATACGGTCGATGGTTGACGGGAAAAATATTCAAGGTGGCTGGAGCTGGCTCCGCCGTACTAAATAAATGTCTGCAACTAACTGCATTTAAGGTGGGGGTAACACCTTGTGGGTAAGGCAATTGTCTGAATTTCAACTATTTCTAGTCTTAATATAATTGGTATTTCTTTTATACATCTCACTATACATAGAGAATACATGTTGTAGGTCTAGCTCGCAGGGTGTTTTTTCCAAACATTCACCGGTCCACCAAACCCTTATTGTCAAATTCCATGGTATCATTAAAAAAGCCGAGAAAACAAAGTGCAAAAAGATCGAAGGAGGGCGTCGATGTGCACGCACTATTGGTCTCCTTCGGACAGGGCGGTTGACTGGTGGTGGGCATTCGCATGGATATCGCGGAAGCCCAGCAATTCCCCAATAACACCCTTGGGTTTGGGGACAGGACATTCTCGATTGATGTGTGAGAGTTTCTCTGCTTCCGCCTTCATCTGAAGGAATGTCGAGACCTCCTCATCGACAACATCTGGCATAGGCTGACCCAGCTGGATGCCATCTGGGCCCACTTCACCATCCTTCCGTCGTCTGCGTCGGATGCGTGGTACTTGTTGTCCATCGGCTGTCATGGTCATCTCCGAATCGGCAAAGGTACGTCGTGGGGCCGGGCAAGGGAAGACGTGCGGCATGCCCACGACTAGGAGAGATGCGAGGAGGGTGCCGGCGAATAGGCCGGTGGTTGATCGCGACCGAGGATGTAGATGTGGTGGCATTGTGTGTGAACTGAGAGAGAACGAGTATTGATGTTCAATTGAGACGAGGTAGGCGTGGCCGACTGTTTCTGTAATTTTTCAAGCCATCGGAGGGCTCGGAGTGGGCAGGCTGGTATAGTCGGACAAGAAGAGAAGGAATAGCAGGCAAAAGGAGGTCAATTGAATGTTAAGTGAGAATTATTCAAGTTGACAAACTTTTAAACCTCCGATAGCAGATGTAAAGGGTCACAAAGGAAAGAGTGCGGAGAGAAGACGAGAGCGAAGGGCTTCGGGTGCATCTAATCTTATCTGGCTCCCGCGTGATTGGATATTCCGCTTCCACCAAGTTTCTGCGTCGCGCATCAGAGCTTCGCGAAGATGAGACTGTATTTTTCGGAGAACTGAGCCATCTGATTTCTATTTAAGGGGGTTTCTTGACTTCGATAACAGTCCCTCTTTCCTTCCCCCTCCACCCTCTTTCGACAAGATGAGTAACCTAGACCGGTATGGCATCAACCCCTCAAATCTGTAGCCCCCATCGTTCACCGTCAAGCTAATGTTTTGTTTCTCATAGGGCGATCGAGCAGCTGCGGGCCTGTCGCCTGATCCCCGAAAGCCAAGTGCGCGAACTTTGCTACAAGGCGCGTGAGCTCTTGATCGAAGAAGGCAATGTCGTGTCCGTTGACGCTCCCGTGACCATTTGCGGCGATATCCACGGCCAATTTCACGATTTGATGGAACTATTCCGCGTCGGCGGCGATGTTCCTGACACCAACTACCTTTTCATGGGCGATTTCGTCGACCGTGGCTTCTACTCCCTTGAATCCTTCCTTCTCCTCCTTTGCTTGAAAGTTCGATACCCCGATCGCATCACCCTAATCCGTGGCAACCACGAATCACGCCAAATCACAACAGTATACGGTTTTTACGACGAATGCATTCGAAAATACGGCAGCGCCAATGTATGGCGGTATTGCTGCGAAGTATTCGACTACCTGGCCCTGGGCGCGATCGTGCTAGGCGCAAGCTCAGAGCTAGTACCCACCTCAGCATCATCAAACGAAGACGAGCTGGAAATAGAAGTATTGGATTCCAAAGGCGTGGTCACGATGAATACATACCGACCGCGACAGCGTTCCTCTTCCGAAGCATCCTCAGACTCCAGAAATATCTCCCCGCCACGAGACATATCCGCCGCCCCAGGCCAGGCTGCCGCACCCTCACGATCGGGTGCACCGGGCACAGGCGCGAGCGGTGATGGCAACGGCAGCGCCGTGACTAGCCGGACTGGTGCGGTGCTCTGTGTACACGGTGGATTATCACCGCTCATTGACTCTGTCGATAAAATCCGACTGATCGACCGCAAACAAGAGGTGCCACATGAAGGTGCTATGTGCGATCTGCTCTGGTCAGACCCGGATGAGATTGAAGGCTGGGGGTTGAGCCCGCGCGGGGCTGGGTTCCTCTTCGGCGGCGATATCGTCAAACAGTTCAACCATCTCAACGGCTTGTCTCTTGTCGCGCGTGCACACCAGCTTGTGATGGAGGGATATAAAGAGATGTTTGATGGTGGCATCGTCACTGTTTGGTCTGCTCCGAACTACTGCTACCGCTGCGGCAATGTTGCCGCTATCCTTGAGCTGGGTGAAGACACCAGCGGCGGTGGCACTGTCGCTCGCAGTAACGGTGAATATGGTCGGAGCAACGGCATCGTTGCAGATAATAGAGTCGTCAGCCCAGGAAGGAGATACCGTGTCTTTGAGGCTGCAGCGCAGGATACGCGGGGCATGCCCGCGAAGAAGCCTGTCGCTGATTATTTCTTGGTAAGCTCTTCTTTTCTTTTCTGTTGTCTTGACTGATATCATTGTACTAACAACCATGCCTAGTGATACCATCCCATGCACCTTTTTTTTTCTTTTATATCTTTCTCTTTCAAGTAGCACTCGGGAAGTAGCATTTTACACCTTTGTGCTGGTTTTTGAGAACTAATGATCATCTATGACAAATCTTTTGATAACTGCACTTGTGAATGTCTTTGTCTGTAAATTGATCGTAAGATTTCGGGACAGAAATTTGTAGATGGCATGTCCATCAACGCCGCGAAAATATAAGAAGCCCCTCAAGTGGTATCAAAAATCGCACGAGATATGTTCCCATAAGTCAAAAATCACCAAGTCCATGCATTATTCCCACCTACTCCCATACCCAGTCGTGTCATCGGGCGACCCAACTGTCGACATTCCCACCGGGGCTTGAGAATGCTCGTCGCCAGAACTAGAAGGCCGAGCAACAGACATGAGATTCCCGTCCTGGTATTGAATGACAGAAGGCTGGTTTTGAGAAGCAGTATTCCAAGTACTACTCCAACCATCCATGCCGATGTTATACGCGTTAGCATTTCTCGACCACCAGTCATGGCTCTCTTCGACCAGGTTTTCCGTGCCGTCATACCCAGACACGGGCGATGCAACCGATGTCGGCGTTGCGTTTTGGGGTGACATATGAGCCCCAGAGCCATCGTACCAGTTGTCCGGATGAGGAGAAGAGGGAGGAACGGATCCTGGGAGGGGGTTGAATTGGTAGGCTACTTGGGGCCGGAGATATGTTGGTTCGGGAGGGGCAAACTCGGGTCGTTGGGCTTGAGGTGGATTCATCCCTTGCATGGAGGGGAACGATATCGGAACGGTGGCGAGGGGTCCGTATTGAGGGCCCATTGGTGTCTCACCCATGCCGATGGGTTCGGTGTGGGAATG